AAGTGAGGGACTGGAGACTTGGCATAGCTCCTCAAAGATGTTTCAGAATGCCTGCCCAGAGCTGTTCGTTCTTAGTGTGGCCGAGGACCTGTAGAGAGCCCTTGGTTAATCAGGGGTCTTCCATTTTAGTGAGCTTGACCAGCTTCTCACCATACTTGCCATGTGTTTTCTTTGGATATGTAAGACTGTACGTGAGTGTTTACACACTTGACATGTTATCTGTGGACCACTTCCAGAATAGTGGCTGCTGTGATAGGGCATGAAAAAGATACCAAGATGGAAAACAGGAGGCTCTTGTCCCCAGGGAGTCTAAAAAAAGAGAGGAGTTAGACATTCTGGGTTCCCTCTGTGAGAGGGATCTGTGGAGGCTCAGCTGCAACCCTCTCTCCCCTGTTAAAAACTTTCAGTGGCTCCCTGTGTCCACCACCTAGAGTTCAACTCCTTAGCGTAGGCCCTGCACAGGTTGATCCTGCGGGAGTTTCGAGCCTGCATCTTCTCTGTGCCCCACACTCCAGACAGAGGTCACCACTGTCCGGGCACTGTGCTTGTGTCTTTCCCCCTCCGGTGGTCCTTGCTGATACTTCTCACTCAACTGATTGGTCACTGGAACCCTCCAAGTACCGAAGGCAGTGCCTGGTACTGTAGATCAGGTTGAACATGATGACTGTTAGTTGACTAACCAAATCAACAAGCAGCAGGTAGCCAAATGCAAGTTCAGTTACCATAAGAGAGGCTTGCTTTTAAAACTGTGGTGGATGCAAGCCCTCTGTATCACCTCTCTCTCCAAACACTGAGGGGCTGGACAGTGTTCAATGTCAAGGCCTTTGGTGTTCACTATCTACACACATTTGAAATCTGTCCCTTTCCTCTGACTCCCTGCATTGTCTTGTCCAGGGCACCGTTTCTGGATTGGGTGATTCATACCCTCCTAACTTCTTTTTTTTTTTAATTTAATTTAAAAAAATATTTATTTATTTGAGAGAGAGAGAGAGAAAGCACGGGCAGGGGGAGGAGCAGGGGGAGGGGGAGGGGGGAAGAGGACAAGCAGACTCCCAGCTGAGCAGGGAGCCGGATGAGGGGCTCAGTCCCAGGACCCTGAGATCATGAGCTCAAGTCAGACACTTAACTGACTGAGCCACCCAGGTGCCCCTACCCTCCTACTTCTTTCTCCACATCACTACTTAAACGATCCTTTACTAAAGTGTGAAGCTGTGCATTCAACTCCTTTGCTTAAAGCCTTTCCGTGGCTTCTCACTGCCTTCAGAATTCAGCTCAAACTCCTTATCTTGGCCCCCAAGGCCTCCTGTGCTCTGACTCAGCTCCCCCTGCTCGAGCTGCATGCTCTCCCCCTCCGCACTTAACTGTGTGGCATGGAAACGGGCTGTTTCTCTCCTCTCTCCCTGAAGGCTGTGAACTCCTTATCCATTGTCGTGTCCTCAGTACCTGCCATTAGTGCTCAGCATCTAGAAGGTACTCAGTTAGTGCTGGTTCTACTTAATGGAGCTCACTGGGCTGCCATTTGCATTATGTGCTGAAGTATTGGTGGAAGCAGAGCACATACGTGGTGAACCTAGGAAACATGTCCCAGGCTGAGCGGAGTGCACTTACTACGTAATGAGCATTTAACGTTGCCTCAGCTCACTTCATCTGCACAACCACATTCTGGAGGAAATAGGATGATTTGGGTTGGACAGATGAAAAAAACAGAGCCATTTGGAACCCAGGTGTGCTTGTGGCCAAGGCCCCAGCTTTAATCCTTTCTGCTCTTTGCTTCCGGCGCCGGTGGTAGAACAGGGCCACCCAGATAGTAAATCAGATGCCTGTGCGGAGAACAGATAGCAGGTTGGGTAACTAACATGTGTGACGCTAACCTCTGGGAGTGGCTGGCCCTCCGGAAGTTTCCTGTGAACCTTCTTCTACCTTTACTCTAGCCTCGGGAGTCAGGAATTCTACTAGGAGCTTTGGAGCTTGGAGAACACAGGAATAAGGCAGCCCCATGCCAAATCCTTTAGTTTGGATCTGCTCTTCTCTTGGTCACTGTGACTGGAAAGTAGCTCTCAAGAACTTTGGCCAGAGTAGGGATGCTTGTGAGTAAGGTGGAGAGGTGAATGGATGGGTTCTTGGTTCTGCTTTAATTGTCTCGAGACCAGAGGGAGTAGCTGTGTGTGTGTGTTGATCAGTACTAAGTGGACCAGCTGAGAAGAGGCTGTAGATCAGGTTGATAATCTGGTGGTCAAGGGTACTGACTCTAACACTTTGTGACCTTAGACAAGTTATTTAACTTAGGTAAGCCTCTGTTTCCTCACCTATAAGATGGCTGCAATAATAAAACATACCCTAGGGAGTTACAAAGATTAAAAGAGATAATTCGTGCTCACTCTCTCTCTCTCAAATAAATAAATAAAAATAAAATCTTAAAGAGATAATTCATGTAAATATTCAGTGTAGTGCTTGGTTCATAGTAAGAAGCCAGTAAATGTTGGCTAATAATAAAACTAAGGTAAGGAGTATGTATTTGTTCCATATTGTAGTAAAATAAGTAATCAGAAGGTTCAGTGGGGAAACCGATGCAGGACCTAAGTCAGACCAAGTCAGCCAAGACCTAAGTCCCAAATCCAGGGTGACCTAAGTCAGCCAAGACCTAAGTCCCAAATCCAGGATTACTCCAGTGGCTGAAGCCAGAATGTGGGACCTTGTCCAGGACAACCTGCTGGGTGGGTGTCCACTGAGGAGGACGGGACACTTTCTAGACCTAGATGGGTGCAGAGTGGCTTGAGAGTGTGTGTGTGTGCGTGTGCGCGCCTGTGTGTATGTGTGTGTGTGTGTGTGTGTGTGTTTGAGAGCCTGCTGAGACTCTGGCAGGAGCAAGTCTTGTTTTGGGACCCTCTGTCCTCGAGCATTTCACTAACATGAGGTGTGGTTTGGCAGTGGACTTGAACCCGAGGGGCTGGGTTCCAAAGTCTGACTGTGCCACCGGATGTGCTGGGTCCTTGGGCAAGTTATTCAGGGATCCCTGTCTGCTTCCACAGCTGTGAGATAGGGAGGGAGCACCTGATTTTCAGGCTTTTATGCCATATGGGGAAGGATCTGGCCCGGAACCTGTCACATGGCAAGCCGTAAATACTGTGTGTGTTTAGTGGCTGGACGAGGCAGATTTCACACTGAAGCCCAGTAGAGCACACTGTTTGTGAAGCATGGGCCTGGGAAGCTAAGGAGCTGCTGGAGCCAGAGGGAGGGCGATGGAAGGCTAACAGCCCTACATCCCATGCTTGTCTCTGCCAGTCCTTGGACAGAGAGGACTGTGGTGGCAATACGGTGTGTCGGGAAGATTAAGCTGGCAGGAGAAAGCATGTAGCCTGCAGGGAGAGATGGCAAGTTGACGTGCTGGGTGAGGTCTGATGTCCAGCAAGATCAAGTGCTTTTAGCATTGAGAATAGTGAGGAAATTCAGCCCAGCCAGGTATTTACTGAGTGCATATGATCGTCGGGATCTCCAATAATATCTATTGCTGGAGATCTTAAAACTGAAATATCGGGGCGCCTGGGTGGCTCAGTCAGTTAAGCGTCTGCCTTCGGCTCAGGTCATGATCCCAGGGTCCTGGGATCGAGCCCCGCGTCAGGCTCCCTGCTCAGCGGAGAGCCTGCTTCTCCCTCTCCCTCTGCAACTCCCCCTGCTTGTGCGCTCTCTCTCTGTCAAATAAATAATTTTAAAAATAAAAAAATAAAATCTAAAAAAACAAACAAACAAACCTGAAGTCTCATAATTACTACGGAATAAAGAACGCCTCTAACTAATCTGAGGGTTCTTGTCTTCCTTCTCCCAGGGCTGGATGGTCTCCAGAGAAACCTAAAGGGAGGCTGGGTTATGCAATGGGATGTAAACAAGTCACCCAAAGCTGCAGATTAGCTAGTATGAGTGACTTGTATTCTTTCTTCCCCATCCAGCCTTCTTCCAGAAACTTAGCTCCTGTAGGAGTAAGTCCATGAGGACCCCTTTCTAGGAAATCTGGGTGCTAATGTCTGGCTGGCCTGAGCTAATCACGTGGAAAAGAGCCCGAAGCAGACCCAGGAAGTTGGTGCCCTGGTAGAGCCCGTGGCAGCTGGCCTGAGTGTGGGAGGAGGTGTTCCCAGGCTGGTTTCCGGGGCAGCGGGGGGGGGGGGGCACAGCTGACCTGAATGGGCCCCAGCATTGCCTGACTCCCTTGCCCTCCCTTTCCCTTCTCTGTCCTCTCATCCTTTGCTCTCTTTCTCACTTCAGTGGCTTCCCTAGGTTAGCTTAGGATGGTAAGAGTAAAGAAGAGAGTCTGGTCAAGTGTGGGCAGCTGGTGAGCAGGGAGGTAGTACCAGCACGAGAGGCAGAGGGGCCCGGAGAAACCTGTGGCCCAGCCGCCTTGCTCGGCAGGTCTAGAAACAAGGCCAGAGGTGTTGAATGGCCTGTCCGAGGACACATGGGAAGAGGGGCAGAGATAGGCTGGAGCCACAAGTGCTGATGGTAGTACAGCTCTGGATTGAGCTTAATGTGGCCTGTCTCTAGATTATAATATTATTTTGAGCACTGGTGTCAGGCTTCATTGCCAAAGCTTTGCCCTTGTTTTCTGCACCCCCATTAGCCAGTGTACAGTTAAGTGCTGACTTTGCCATGCATTTGCCAGGCCTGGTTTGGAATCTTTAAAAGCCAATATGTAAAATGAGCCTTAGTGGCCACATGGGAGGTTAGAGGGTATTGCTTTATTAGTATGTAGAGAAATGAATATGGCTGAGGAGAACGGAAAAGGGAACTTCAGACAAAACCACCCTGGGGCACCTGGGGCGCTCCGTCGGTTAAGCGTCTGCCTTCGGCTCAGGTCATGATTCCAGGGTCCTGGGATGGAGCCCCATGTCTTTGGGCTCCCTGCTCAGTGGGGAGTCTCCTTGTCCCTCTCCCCCCTCTGCCCTGACCCCCCACTTGTGTGTTCTCTTTCTCAAATAAATAATAAATAAAATCTTTTTTTTTTTTTTAAGAAACAGTGGTTTATTTTTCTAATGAAATTACCAAGCTGCTGAATCTTAAGGCCTCAACAAATGTTGCATCTTATTATTTTCATTGAACAATAAGACCTCCTATTTTGATTATTCTCCGTAAATAGCAATTTTGTTTCTGCAGTTGTTTCCATTTGCCAAAGTTATGACAGACAGTTTAATATGGTGGCTACTGCTTTCAGGGGATTCTATCAGATGAATCCTCATTTCCATCACAACACCTGCTGGCAATCTTTCATCAAAAGTCCATCCATTAGGACTTCTCTATCGTGGTTGGCCAAGAAGTCCTGCTTTGGCTGCCAGGGCTTCATTCTGCTGAATATGATATTCCTGAAATCTCATGGATATTCTTCGTGTCATTTTTAAATATTTCTGTAAGCAATGTTCGGAACAGGTGGTCTCTTCAGGTTTTACTTCTCTTGTTGTGAAGTCTTTAACGCAATCCCAAAAGCAGGTTTCTGTAAGTTTATTGTAGGTTCCAAGAAATCCCTTGAACTGTTTTATCTGATCAGATTCTGGTATTTGTGCAGCCATATTCTACTGGTATGTTTATTAGTCACCTTTTCTGATGCATGAGCTTCCTTTTGTTCCAGAAAATTAGTTGTCCAACCTCTGCTTGAATTTTCCAATGACTGATTTCTTACTTAAGCATAGGCTCTCGCATCTGACACCAGTGCGAGGCTGGGGGGCTGTGCTGCCAGTCGAGTCTAGGAGTGGGGGGTCTGGGTCCAATAATAAATAAAATCTTAAAAAAAAAAAAAAGACAAACCCACCCTGTTAGCCCCTCCTTTTACAGATAAGGAAACTGAGGCCCAGAATGGTTGGATGGAAGAGAAGGGCTCACATCAGAGGTCCCTGGACCATGACCGTCCTTGCCCTCCCAGTTTTTCTAGAGTATGAAGCTTGTCCGATTTTAGAGATTGTCTTTGGTTAAAAGATACAAATTACAAATAACGAAATTAGGTGTAATCTTTGGAAGGGACTCCATGCAAGTGAAGGGTCTTGAAGCTTCAGTTGGTAGCTTCACTGCCAAGCCACCAATGGTACCTGGACAGAACCAACTTTTGGAGATGGCAGAAGAAAAGAGGCTTATGGTCCTGGAATCTGGGAGAGAAGAAGGGACAGAGCTGAGTCTGAGGCTTTCGTGTGGACACTGTCACCCTTCCTGCTCTCTCCTCTTTGCTGTTCTCCCTTTCCATTTTATAGCCCTGTTTGCAACTCCCAAAATGACAGTTGGGCCAAAAATGCTGCCCATTTGTAAAAAGGGGAATGGAGACATTTTATGAATGAAGGTGCCCTAGAAACTGGAATGGAAGTGATTCTTCACTGAAATGAATTAAGTGGGATCCTGTCTCGTTTGTACCCATAGGATCTTCATTTATGGAGGGGAATGCATGATGACATGAAGAGGTCAATGACATTGAAGGAATTTGCTATCATTTCCCAGAAGAAGGGGGGTGGGGATCCCATGCCACACATGACCACAGGGAAAGCATCAGGTTCTGGTCAGGAGGAGAAGCAGGAGCAAGGGGAAAGCCTGAACCACCGCTTTATGGGGCTTTCTGTGGGAAAAACAGGGCAAGGGAGTTTAGGATTGGCTCATTGGAATAGTTCTGGTGGGCTTTGGGCTATAGCCGTGTTCTCTAGTTGCCTAGTGCCTGGCCCTGGGACAGTTTAGACAAGGGAAACATTGGCTTAGTGTGTGAGGGTTAGATAAAAAGGGGTGATTTGGGGGACAGATTCAGAATTAGCTGGTTTACATATGAAAAGTACGCTCCTGGCCAGCCCTCTGCTATCTCTAAGAATTGGTTAACCCCTGGGGGTGGGGGTGGGGGGTGGTGTCAATCTTTCTTCAGCACACAAGATTTTTTAAGATGTTAGAATATTGTAAGATATAGAAAAGAAAAAAATATGATTAATACATTCTGCCTAGCTGTGAACGGATTGACTAGGAGACTTGAAAACTTCTTACTGCCTTAGGGTGCTTTTTATCCATGGCCAGACACAAAAAATACAGTCCTTGCCATCTTGTAATAAATAGATCGGGGCTTACAAGGAGAATGCGCTGAAGCACTATTCTTGTAATTTGAGGAAGGTGCCACTAGGTGGTGCTTACACCCTGGTCTGGCCTGATTGAACGTCTTGACTTCCTATGGGGTGGATATTTTTCCATTCATTTTAACCTTTCTCTGGCCAAAATGTATCTCATCGGGATAACAGTTTAAACACTAGATAGTTCTATATTCACAGACTATTAAATAATTGTAGTAGGATTTAAAGAAATATATATGCCCAAGTATAATTCATTCTCTTTTTGCTCTTCAATCATTATCAGGTATAAGTGAATCTGATTCTTAAAATTTTTTTTTCTTTGTGAGTTTTAATACCTAATCAAAGGACTGTGCGGATTGTAGTGATGGTGGTGCGCTTTAGAATAGTTTGGCAAAAGTCTTCAATAGGAAACGCCATGTGTTTTTACTTCTCAGGAGAAAGGTCCTATTTACATTTCCTTTGTTTTTATTTTGTTGTGTGAATGTTTTCTTCTTCACAGACATAAAGAAAGAGAAAAGATAGTGGTATAAAAAGCCCTGGGCTGTGTAAAAAAAGTCTGCTGTGTTCTTTTCCTAAACAGTCCCTGGGAGCAGTTATAGGACTCAGGTGCTTTCTGATGAACTGGAAGGTGGTGGTGGCCGAGGAGCCCTCACTAGTTACATCTGATGCAGATGAGAAATTTGCTCTAACATGAATCCCAGTGTTTATAGAATTTAACTTAAAGCAGAAAGCCACGACTCAGTAACTTTCCCTGTTTATTTTAAGCAGTTATCAGTCAAGAGCAATACAAAGCAAAACCAAATTTTAATTTCTCTTAGAAGATACATAGATTTTAAGAACAGACATTAATTTTATGAAAGGCTTCACTCTCTTTAAGTAACCCGTCCATCCAACACATTTAAACTGTGATCGAAACCACGGGCTTCTCCTGGCACTGCAAAAAATGAAGTTGAGTTAAAAACAGGATTCCTAACTCTAGGTCAGCACAAAAACCCATTCTATTTTTATTTATTTTTTAAAAGATTTTATTTATTCATTTTAGACACAGAGATACAGAGAGAGAGAGAGAG